ACACACACACACACACACACACACACACAGAGAGAGAGAGAGACAGACACACATACACACAATCGGTTCTGCTATTTATTAGCGCATTAATAAGTAGGTTTCTTTCTGTGGAAAAATACTGCATGTCATACATGCATTAATTACACAGGGGCCTGTAGATAAAAGCTCGGAGTTTTATATCTAAGACCCATTACATCATGCGTACGAGTTTATACACTGTACCAAATATTTAGAAATTACAGATTTCTGGGGAAATTTAAGTAATCAGCACGAAAAGGGTTTAAATTATCCTAATGATTTCAAAAAGTTTAAAAGAAAATATTATACCAAATGAAATGTATTGAAAACATCATTCTACTAATTTGACGGGGAAGCGTCATGGATTACAAAATGGATCCTGAAAAGGGCCTCTTAGGAATTCATTCATCAATGTAATTACCGAAAATTAGACGTTTTATTTTTTGCCATTCTTCCGTAGACGTGGATGGTATTATTGGTGATATCGACGAGTTGGCCTCAAAAAAGGCAAAGGAAGTTCAAGGAGGTAGAACTAACACGTCCGGGTGTTTGTACAAGTTGAAAGACGAGGTATTTAAGGAAGAGAACGGAATGCGCGCTGACGTGGAGAAGATAGCAATCGTTGTTACTGACGGGCGGCCAAACGAAGACAAAGAGTTGACAGTACCTTATGCCAACAACATTAAAAACGATGGTACCATAATTTTCGCCATTGGGGTTGGAAAAAGACTGAAACCGTAGGTTATTTTGTCATATTTGATAAATTTGAATGAGGGAGCTCGTTATTTTGTTTATGATTTCCATTTCCAAAATGAACTGAAGTTTTATCCTCTTGCGCACTGAACAAAAAAGAAAAAAGATTTTACGTCTCTCTCTCTCTCTCTCTCTGTGTTAGTGTGTGTTTCAAGAATATTAAGTGTGAGCATTATACACTTTAACTTATTATTTTCTTCAATCATTTTCACGCGTTCCAGGGACTTCTTGGATCTAATAGTGTCTGAGCCTGTAGAAGACCACGTCATCATGGTGAACAATGCAGGCCACTTGATGAACTTAAAAACCGCCATTGCCAGGAAAATATGCAGAGAAGGTATGTGTACATGTATCTTAACCAATGCATTGGAACGTAAAACATTAATTCTTACAACCTCACTGCATTGCCATTTTATTGCATTCATCAATAGATTAATATATTTAATTGATTTGATTTTGATGTACAGATTTAGAAGTGTAAAAGATGCGATTCAGAAAAAAATTGGAGGCGTAATTCCTACACATCCATGCGTATCGAAATTCATTTATTTTTGTTTGTTTATATCAGTTGAAGTCGAGTGTGAGCCAGACCCGCTGGCGGTAGAGCAGCATCAGAGAATGGACGAGGCCGACGCCAGCCTTGATGCGATCAGAACACTTCTTAGCGATCTACGGGACAGCTGCGTCGGTAAGTAGCAAACAGTTCGTCGTTACAGGGAATTATATCCTATATAATTCCCTGGTCGTTATAACCGTATAAACATTTGGTAACCTGTTTGACTTTCTCCAAACTCAAAACAATATGTAGGCTTAAAATACTGAACTCACTCGTAGTGTCTTCCGGCAATAATAAATATCAATTTTTATATCAATATATATATATATATATATATTACATTAGTACATTTTTTACGAGTTCGTTGCCTACAAACAAGCCCCATGCCATATTATATATTTTCCTTAATCAACTTTTGTTATCTCCAGAAAACAGATGTCCTAACTGTTTCAAGATGAACGAAACACTTGGCGCTTGCTATCGATTCGGCTCTGAATTCGACAAGATGACTTGGGCGGAAGCTGACTTGTTTTGTGCAGAAAACTTCGGAGCACGCTCGGTGTCTGTCACGTCACCAGTGGAACGGGAATTTATCCGGGCACAAACCGGAGATGATAAGAGTAAGAAACGAAATGCGTCCTTAGGAATAAAATAAAAAACAAGAAAGGCATAAAAAAAGAAAATATGACAAGCAATGAAATGCCTTTTATTGAAAAGGACATCAATATCATCCACAGTATCCAAATAAGATCTTAGAATTTTCTCAATCTCTATTCTTCATTTTTTTTGTCTGTTTTTTCTCAAAGTTGGCGTCCTGCTCAATACCACAGGCTGCTAACTGTCCACATTATCATGATAATAATTATCATTTCACCCTTTTAAGAATGTACTCTTCGCTTTATAACGTGTAAAATTTTAAGGGGGTTTTCATATTTAGTTCCTGAAGATAATAAAACAGTAAAAGAATAAAACACATCATATCTCAACTGGATCTAAATGTGATTATCAGCTTGGTATATAATTTTACAGGATATGGCATGGTATATATAAATTAACATAACATTACAAAATATTTTTTTTCATATTATTAATAAATTTAGGTTGGTGGACAAGTGGCAACGATCTGGGAACAGCCGACAAGTTTACCTGGGCGGACAGCGGTCAACTGATGACCGAAGATGCCTCTAGTCTGGGCAAGAACGCCCCGAACCAGCGTTGCGTGAAACTCCGGGAGAACACGCTGGAACCAGAAGCGACACCTTGCGACGAGTTGCACTATGTCATTTGCAAGACGCTGATTTAACTGGAACCGGATCTTGTCCAATGATATGGATATCCGGCATTGTTGGAGGTTTCAGCGAACATATATGTGGATTTCAATTATCAAGACGGAAGTTTACTTTATGGGACAAATTATTACAGTTATCCTAACACCTTTTCTCTGAAATGCATGTGTAATTTTTTTTTTTTTTTTTTTTTTTAAGTAACGAAATTGAAAGTGAAAAGAGAGGGAATGCACTTTGTCTTCATAAGTGTTTTGTTTACTGTTTAGGTGATGAAAGGTCCTAGAAAATTTCATTTTTTTTCTTTTGCCTCAAGTCATGTAACAGGTAACACTGATAAATATTTCTAATTCCTCTGCAGTAGCATACAAATACGGAGTTTAATTTTGACACATCTCATTCCAAATGAGATATAACTTCCTGAATGCATCTAAATTTCAATAATCTATAGAAACAAAAAGGTATACAAGAGACTTTGGAAAATAAATAACAAGAGACAGTTGAAAAAATCTCTTTATCAAAACCATTATTAAATACAAATCAAATAATTATGATTCAGAATCCAGATTTATCGTGCACATACATGCATCAATAGCCCCAAAATCTAAATGGCGAGGATCTACCGGTACTCTGACCACTGCACTCCTTACTAGCAAACATGTTGAAATCAGTTTTAATCCACTTCTGGCTCGTATTAATGCATAAGAAGAATAGTATATGAATACAAGATAAATTTGTAACAAGTAAACTTATCACGTAAGTCGGTCTTCCTCCACTAAAAGATGACTTCTATAATAAATGCATATCAATAAACACACGCATATCTGTAATCAACAGATTAACAAAACATATTAAGTTTACTTTCACATGTTATGCAATAACAGGATGCTTAAAATACATGTTCATACTCTTCACTAGGGGCTCTTGGAATTTAATACAAGAATACTTAAAAGAAACACTTCAAGCAGGTTTCCTCTATCATTGGTACCAATGAATGCATATCAGTAATCCTATATTAGCACAGAACCTTAATTGGAAACCCGTTAACAGAAACATTAACAATGGCATTATCACTGGCCTTATTTAAAGTCAGTTCTGATGTAAATTTTATGACAAAAGGTTTCAAAAGAAGAAAAAAATACAAATAAATTGTCATTCCAACAGGCCTTTTGCCTTTGCATTGGTTGTATCACAGTTCTTTTCAAAACCCCTGAAGCAGTAACCAAATCAGCTGACAAACTGGTCAACAGTCTTCCACAATTTCATTTGTCAACTGTTAGTATGCAAATCTAGTGACTGCCCTGAAAAATAATTTAAGAAAGAAAAAAGTTTCACTGTCCTGACATTCACCTACAAAGACTTACTAGTATGTGTACTTTATAGGGCAAATGAACACCAATGTTAAGAGGAAAAGAAATGATGGGACTGAGCTACCCAACCTCTACCTACCACTCCTAAGGGAGGGGCAGGCAAGGGGGGGGGCTGACCAAATAGCACACCAGAGGGGGTGACAGGTTGTCATACCTGTCACAACCTCATTCCCTGATGAAGTCTGACTGCAAGCAGAAGAAATATTGGATGGTAAGATCAGACAAATATAAGTAGCTATAGACAAAAGAATCTTCACAAGTCTATTGAAAAGAAATTTATCTTTACAAGATCATTCTATTAAATTATAAACTTTGTTTCAAAATAAAATCAAACACGTACCAGTCTCCCGATCCATAACTTTGGAGAAATATTTTGGTGAAATAATTCCATCACAGTTGCCAGGACTAAGGATGACATTATTGTCTGATAAAAAGAACTGCAGACCATCTGAAAATTAAACAAATTTCACTACAGTAGCAGACCTGCTTTATGGCCAGTTGACAATGAATTACTGCCTTTAGTCTCAGATCCAATCTTCGACAGGTTCTTCATTTGAAAAAAAAATTGATGATGAATGGCACACATCTGATCTGAAGCTCAGGGTACACTAAACTGGCAAGAGGTTGGTGGTACGAAAAAATCTCACAAAAATTATTTTTAAGTTATTTAATAAAATATGAGTACATTTATAATACAACATATGGTTATGATATCTATGTACATGTGTGACAAATATAAACATAAGTTATGATTAAATTTATCACTTAATCAGCTTTTTATAATCATTATGATGATGAAGATGAATGAGGCTAACGTACCTTCTAATGCCTTTTGTAAATTCAAGTAGATGAGGACTTGACAACTTTTTCGCATTCCTAATGAAATGAAAAGTTTATGACAGAGATTAAGAATATAAATTAAACTCCTGCCAAGAGAATTTTGGCAATGTCTGTGACTTTAACACAGAATTTCAGAAATTACTGGAAAATAATCTCTTCAATCAGCAGACCTTTACTGTTCCCAGTAAATGTTATGTCTGAAACTGATGGGTACTAGTAACTTCACAAAAGAAAAATTAATTATATAGCGTTCAGGTGGGAAAAAATACATTCCTTTTTGGGAAAAATTAATACAAACTTAGTTTCCATGGCCAAATTTGGTGCAGAACACTTATGTATTACAATATTTTTTGTCTCCCATGAGTTTGGAGATCACTAATGTTCAAAAGTTTAAAATGGCCAGCAAAACTGTATTTAATCTGAACTGACGTGACATATTGTTAACATGTGCTTCAATGTATTTTCTAATGTTTTCATTTATAAGGGAAACACATAACACTTGTAATGAAAAAATTCTAGGTGCCCAGTATAAGCAATGAAATGGATAAATGATTTGCAAATTATCAAACTTGAACAAGTGAATTACAAATAGCACTTGCCACTGATGACCCCTGAGTCTCCTGGTTCACCTGGTGCAAAATGAATATGGTTTCTATTCATCTTACTAAGTCCCTGAAAAAAAAAGAACAAAGGTAAAGGATAACTACGAAGTTTGGGTTTTAAGCCTCTATATCCTCAGTAAACAAAATCAGACAATTTACAATTTGAAATCCATCTTTATGAATCTGTTCAATATTCTGAATTTGGAATTGTAGGCTTTTTCATGAGGCAGGGCAAGGCTCTGCCAATTTTATTAAGATGGACAAAAAATCTTATTAACAGATGATACAACATGGCATGGAAGGATGGGGGAGGAAAGGTTTTTATGTGCAAATGTCAAAATTGACACTTGGGAACATTATTTCCCATCATTTAACCTTGGCAAAACTTGGGGTCCAAAATTGATCTAAAACTTGTTTAAGACAGACAACATGTTTTGGACTATTGGATAGGTATAGGTTTTATACAACATTTTGACAATGTTTATGTTGCAGGGATTGCTTTACGTTATTTACACTAAACTCCATTCAAGTTGGGCTGTCAAAACTGCAAAATTAAAAACTTTGAAAACAAATGAGTAAATTCCAAGACCCTCTCCACGCATGGAACTATATGTATAACTCAATGCTCCACTGAAGCCATACTGGAGATAGCAGCTGGCAATTATGGAACAGGTCATCCAAGATCTAAGTATAGAGCTCAAAATGGCATTATAGTCTTTATTTTCTCAATGGTTTTGGATAGGGTATGCCTTGGTGATTTTAGGGAAATCAGTNAACAACCTCACTGCATTGCCATTTTATTGCATTCATCAATAGATTAATATTTTTAATTGATTTGATTTTGATGTACAGATTTAGAAGTGTAAAAGATGCGATTCAGAAAAAAATTGGAGGCGTAATTCCTACACATCCATGCGTATCGAAATTCATTTATTTTTGTTTGTTTATATCAGTTGAAGTCGAGTGTGAGCCAGACCCGCTGGCGGTAGAGCAGCATCAGAGAATGGACGAGGCCGACGCCAGCCTTGATGCGATCAGAACACTTCTTAGCGATCTACGGGACAGCTGCGTCGGTAAGTAGCAAACAGTTCGTCGTTACAGGGAATTATATCCTATATAATTCCCTGGTCGTTATAACCGTATAAACATTTGGTAACCTGTTTGACTTTCTCCAAACTCAAAACAATATGTAGTCTTAAAATACTGAACTCACTCGTAGTGTCTTCCGGCAATAATAAATATCAATTTTTATATCAATATATATATATGCCTACAAACAAGCCCCATTCCATATTATATATTTTCCTTAATCAACTTTTGATATCTCCAGAAAACAGATGTCCTAACTGTTTCAAGATGAACGAAACACTTGGCGCTTGCTATCGATTCGGCTCTGAATTCGACAAGATGACTTGGGCGGAAGCTGACTTGTTTTGTGCAGAAAACTTCGGAGCACGCTCGGTGTCTCTCACGTCACCAGAGGAACGGGAATTTATCCGGGCACAAACCGGAGATGATAAGAGTAAGAAACGAAATGCGTCCTTAGGAATAAAATAAAAAACAAGAAAGGCATAAAAAAAGAAAATATGACAAGCAATGAAATGCCTTTTATTGAAAAGGACATCAATATCATCCACATTATCCAAATAAGATCTTAGAATTTTCTCAATCTCTATTCTTCATTTTTTTTGTCTGTTTTTTCTCAAAGTTGGCGTCCTGCTCAATACCACAGGCTGCTAACTGTCCACATTATCATGATAATAATTATCATTTCACCCTTTTAAGAATGTACTCTTCGCGTTATAACGTGTAAAATTTTAAGGGGGTTTTCATATTTAGTTCCTGAAGATAATAAAACAGTAAAAGAATAAAACACATCGTATCTCAACTGGATCTAAATGTGATTATCAGCTTGGTATATAATTTTACAGGATATGGCATGGTATATATAAATTAACATAACATTACAAAATATTTTTTTTTCATATTATTAATGAATTTAGGTTGGTGGACAAGTGGCAACGATCTGGGAACAGCGGACAAGTTTACCTGGGCGGACAGCGGTAAATTGATGACCGAAGGTGCCTCTAGCCTGGGCAAGAACGCCCCGAACCAACGTTGCGTGAAACTCCGGGAGAACACGCTGGAACCAGAAGCGACACCTTGCGACGAGTTGCACTATGTCATTTGCAAGACGCTGATTTAACTGGAACCGGATCTTGTCCAATGATATGGATATCCGGCATTGTTGGAGGTTTCAGCGAACATATATGTGGATTTCAATTATCAAGACGGAAGTTTACTTTATGGGACAAATTATTACAGTTATCTTAACACCTTTTCTCTGAAATGCATGTGTAATTTTGTTTTTGTTTTAAGTAACGAAATTAAAAGTGAAAAGAGAGGGAATGCACTTTGTCTTCATAAGTGTTTTGTTTACTGTTTAGGTGATGAAAGGTCCTAGAAAATTTCATTTTTCTCTTTTGCCTCAAGTCATGTAACAGGTAACACTGATAAATATTTCTAATTCCTCTGCAGTAGCATACAAATACGGAGTTTAATTTTGACACATCTCATTCCAAATGAGATATAACTTCCTGAATGCATCTAAATTTCAATAATCTATAGAAACAAAAAGGTATACAAGAGACTTTGGAAAATAAATAACAAGAGACAGTTGAAAAAATCTCTTTATCAAAACCATTATTAAATACAAATCAAATAATTATGATTCAGAATCCAGATTTATCGTGCACATACATGCATCAATAGCCCCAAAATCTAAATGGCGAGGATCTACCGGTACTCTGACCACTGCACTCCTTACTAGCAAACATGTTGAAATCAGTTTTAATCCACTTCTGGCTCGTATTAATGCATAAGAAGAATAGTATATGAATACAAGATAAATTTGTAACAAGTAAACTTATCACGTAAGTCGGTCTTCCTCCACTAAAAGATGACTTCTATAATAAATGCATATCAATAAACACACGCATATCTGTAATCAACAGATTAACAAAACATATTAAGTTTACTTTCACATGTTATGCAATAACAGGATGCTTAAAATACATGTTCATACTCTTCACTGGGGGCTCTTGGAATTTAATACAAGAATACTTAAAAGAAACACTTCAAGCAGGTTTCCTCTATCATTGGTACCAATAAATGCATATCAGTAATCCTATATTAGCACAGAACCTTTTGGAAACCCATTAACATTATTAATGGCATCATCACTGGCCTTATTTAAAGTCAGTTCTGATGTAAATTTTATGACAAAAGGTTTCAAAAGAAGAAAAAAATACAAATAAATTGTCATTCCAACAGGCCTTTTGCCTTTGCATTGGTTGTATCACAGTTCTTTTCAAAACCCCTGAAGCAGTAACCAAATCAGCTGACATACTGGTCAACAGTCTTCCACAATTTCATTTGTCAACTGTTAGTTTGCAAATCTAGTGACTGCCCTGAAAAATAATTTAAGAAAGAAAAAAGTTTCACTGTCCTGACATTCACCTACAAAGACTTACTAGTATGTGTACTTTATAGGGCAAATGTACACCAATGTTAAGAGGAAAAGAAATGATGGGACTGAGCTACCCAACCTCTACCTACCACTCCTAAGGGAGGGGCAGGCAAGGGGGGGGGGCTGACCAAATAGCACACCAGAGGGGGTGACAGGTTGTCATACCTGTCACAACCTCATTCCCTGATGAAGTCTGACTGCAAGCAGAAGAAATATTGGATGGTAAGATCAGACAAATATAAGTAGCTATAGACAAAAGAATCTTCACAAGACTATTGAAAAGAAATTTATCTTTACAAGATCATTCTATTAAATTATAAACTTTGTTTCAAAATAAAATCAAACACGTACCAGTCTCCCGATCCATAACTTTGGAGAAATATTTTGGTGAAATAATTCCATCACAGTTGCCAGGACTAAGGATGACATTATTGTCTGATAAAAAGAACTGCAGACCATCTGAAAATTAAACAAATTTCACTACAGTAGCAGACCTGCTTTATGGCCAATTGACAATGAATTACTGCCTTTAGTCTCAGATCCAATCTTTGACAGGTTCTTCATTTGAAAAAACACTAAACAGATGAAGTGGTTGGTGGTACGAAAAAATCTCACAAAAATTATTTTTAAGTTATTAAATAAAATATGAGTACATTTATAATACAACATATGGTTATGAAATCTATGTACATGTGTGACAAGTTATGATTAAACTTATCACTTAATCAGCTTTTTATAATCATTATGATGATGAAGATGAATGAGGCTAACGTACCTTCTAATGCCTTTTGTAAATTCAAGTAGATGAGGACTTGACAACTTTTTCGCATTCCTAATGAAATGAAAAGTTTATGACAGAGATTAAGAATATAAATTAAACTCCTGCCAAGAGAATTTTTGGCAATGTCTGTGACTTTAAGACAGAATTTCAGAAATTACTGGAAAATAATCTCTTCAATCAGCAGACCTTTACAGTTCCCAGTAAATGTTATGTCTGAAACTGATGGGTACTAGTAACTTCACAAAAGAAAAATTAATTATATAGCATTCAGGTGGGAAAAATACATTCCTTTTTGGGAAAAATTAATACAAACTTAGTTTCCATGGCCAAATTTGGTGCAGAACACTTATGTATTACAATATTTTTTGTCTCTCATGAGTTTGGAGATCACTAATGTTCAAAAGTTTAAAATGGCCAGCAAAACTGTATTTAATCTGAACTGACGTGACATATTGTTAACATGTGCTTCAATGTATTTTCTAATGTTTTTATTTATAAGGGAAACACATAACACTTGTAATGAAAAAATTCTAGGTGCCCAGTATAAGCAATGAAATGGATAAATGATTTGCAAATTATCAAACTTGAACAAGTGAATTACAAATAGCACTTGCCACTGATGACCCCTGAGTCTTCTGGTTCACCTGGTGCAAAATGAATATGGTTTCTATTCATCGTACTAAGTCCCTGAAAAAAAAAAGAACAAAAGTAAAGGATAACTACGAAGTTTGGGTTATAAGCCTCTATATCCTCAGTAAACAAAATCAGACAATTTACAATTTGAAATCCATCTTTATGAATCTGTTCAATATTCTGAATTTGGAATTGTAGGCTTTTTCATGAGGCAGGGCAAGGCTCTGCCAATTTTATTAAGATGGACAAAAAATCTTATTAACAGGTGATACAACATGGCATGGAAGGATGAGGGAGGAAAGGTTTTTATGTGCAAATGTCAAAATTGACACTTGGGAACATTATTTCCCATCATTTAACCTTGGCAAAACTTGGGGTCCAAAATTGATCTAAAACTTGTTTAAGACAGACAACATGCTTTGGACTATTGGATAGGTATAGGTTTTATACAACATTTTGACACTGTTTATGTTGCAGGGATTGCTTTACGTTATTTACACTAAACTCCATTCAAGTTGGGCTGTCAAAACTGTAAAATTAAAAAACTTTGAAAACAAATGAGTAAATTCCAAGACCCTCTCCACGCATGGAACTATATGTATAACTCAATGCTCCACTGAAGCCATACTGGAGATAGCAGCTGGCAATTATGGAACAGGTCATCCAAGATCTAAGTATAGAGCTCAAAATGGCATTATAGTCTTTATTTTCTCAATGGTTTTGGATAGGGTATGCCTTGGTGATTTTAGGGAAATCATTGAAGTTTCTTAATTTTTTTTTTTTTTTTTTTGCCACATGAAGGTCTCATGCATGTTGGTTGTCTTTAAACCATGGGCACCTGCACCTAAATAAAAGTAAAGGTAAATATGTAAAAAAAATTACTAAAAATACCTCCTACAAGTTCAAATTGTCAACCAAAACCACTGAAATCACTAGAGTTGAAGAAAGTTCTCTTCAACTGGGGTGGATGACTAACCTGAGATCTGATGGATTCCCAAGCTTTTCTATATGTACCATGTATCACAACAGGGTACTGGGAGGCTTCTATGAGGGGGGACAGCTGAAGATTTTCCACCTGAAAATGTATATAAAGGTTCTTTATAGCTTTATTATTTTATTTAATTTTTAACTTCACATCTCTTCAAGGCTTTTGCAATATATTTATATATGTATTTTTTTCTTTCTCTCCATTTTTGCAATATATTTACATATATTGCAAAAAAGAGAGGAAGAAAAGATAAAAGAAAGGTGTGAAGTTGAAAAAAAAATGAAATTATAAAACAATTAATCAGTTAAACTATTTCTTTATTCATCAACCTATTAAATGTCTGCCTTTCTTTTTGATTTTCCTCACCTGAACACTATGCCCCTGGTTTGCTCGTATCTTGACTCTCCCTGTGTCTTCATCCTGCTCAACAGCGAATCTTTTCTTGTCATTATTTTCAACAACTCGCAGTATATCTTCCTGTGTGTATGTTTTTAAAGAAGACCACTTTAACACATCATCCACGTAAAGGAATCCACCTGGAACAGATTCACATGTCCCTGTTGTTATGGATGCATGGTTATAGAATTTGTGCATAAAATGTATTCACAGTATGTACATGTACAATATTATAGTTATCTTCATTACTTTGTTATAAACTCTGTGTATGCTTTTGTACTTTTTAATGTGCATTGTGTACTATATATGTTTATGCTGTAACACCATACCAGATAACAAACTACTACCAACACTACTACAAATACATACTGGTACATGTACAGATGTCACACTTGCTAATTTGAACCCATTTTGCTGTGTTTTCTTGCTATTTTTTCTAGGAGTGCATTTCCAAAGACACAACTTTTTTAAGCAGAGAAATCCAACTCCGCAAGTACTATCACTGGATGCAATCATATTAACTGAATAACATGTCTCCTTGAGCAGCTAGGGACTGATTAACTTTTGTGTGCATTGCATCACATTCAAAACAAAGTTTAAAAGCTTCCATAAGCTGTGTGATCTACATAGAATGACGGGTGTAACTGAAATGCGCAATACACTGCAATACAGCGCAACACAGCGCAATACACTTGATAACACAAGTCCAGTTGCAAGTAAACACAGGAAAGGGTAATCTCAATTAAAATAGGGCGATATAAAAGCAACATATAGTACATAGTAATTAATATTGCTGATTCAACTTGACAATTTTTTCATTGTTTGGTCAGTCGCCATGTTGGCGAGTAGCTCCTCTTGGCCAGTAATATATCCAAGAAGAGCCACTCGCCAACATGGCTGCCAACCGGACAATATAAAAGTCTTGCTGATTTGTTAAATTATATCAACGATATTACTTACCTAGCAATATAGGTTGTTTTTATATCACCCTGCTTTGCTGGGAATGGTCATTTCTTTTGTGTAATTGCAACTGGATTTGATTTTTGAAGTGTATTGCACTGTGTTGCGCTGTATTGCGGTGTATTGCATATTTCAGTCACACCGTAGAATGACAGTTCCATTGAAAATGCATTGAAAATGCACCCTAAAAGTAGGATTCCAATTATATATATATATATATATTAGTTACCTTCTGTGAAGGTAAAACCTTCCTTTTCAGCACCATGTCGGAGGAGATATGACAATGTTTTTGACAGTCTCACGTCATTACCCTGAAAGTACTCATAAGAGGTAGATCTGTATATCAATAATCTGGGTATATACATGTAGGTATAAACTTATAAGACTAGAGTCAGAGATAAAAAGATGGAATGCACATACCGCATGAACAAAACATTCTCCTACAGATGTCTACTCCATAGCAGACAATTAAGTCTGATATAGATTTCGTGTCAAGTGCTACATGTATGCTCTCTCTCTGAGCGTGCTTACGGTCTTATTGTTTACCTGCTGGTTACTTCTTTTTCTAGCTCCTCTAGACGCCATTGTGGGAATAAGTCACAGAATGTTGACTGTTAATTGAAGCCATTCATCACAAATACGCTTTTATCATTTTTACTCAACTCACGGAGTGAAATTATGCTTTATATACGAAATTGTTGCACAACCCCCAAGAAAGATTTCAGTTTTTTATGTTTGGAGGTTAGAAAGTGATATTTGGTCTGGATGCGGAGAGTAGATGTGAAGCACATCTACCACAATTTGGAGGCGTGCAAAAGGCGAAAAGTGCTAACTACTTTTCAAGACCTTTTCATAAATTGACAAGGGTTCTACTAGCCCTTGTCTCCCCCTCAAGAAGGTTCCATTCAAAAGTTAATGTTGCTTCTACAGATTTGAGTTCCTTAAATTGTTGGTGGGCAGTTTAAGAAACACTTTAATTACAGACTTTAAAACACTGGTAGTCTGGATAATCCCAGTCTAGATTGTCCTCCTTTACAAAACAGAAATAATTAAGTCAGTTTAGATATCATATCGCGTGTTTAGTGTAACTGGTCCTTAGGGGGTATATGTACTATCAAGTCCCCTTACTCATTTATAAGTATTATCTTGTTTACATTTAGGCCTACTATTCTTCTTATACATGAATATGTGGACTATAACATTATTGCTTGTTGTGTCACAGATATTGTTTTTCGCATATACCAGGTACTAAGCCTACATGTAGCATTGCCAAAATTAAAAAAAAATGAATAAAAATGATTTCAACAAGTTTGGTGGTAACGAGTGCAGTGGTCGGAGTAGAAGATCCTCGCTATTTTGTTCTTGCGGCAATAGGCTACATATGTGCACGATAAATCTGAAATCTAAATCAAAATAATTTGATTTACATTTCATAACGGTTTTCAAATACATATTCTTTTCAAATGCCTCTTGTTATTTCTTTTCCAAAGTATCTTGCATATTTTTTTATTTTTATTTTATAGATTATTCACATTAAGGAATAGATGCGCAAGGGTTTTTTTCAATCTCATTTGGGGTGAGATGTCGAAATAAAAAGTTACTCCTTCTATTATAGTAGGCCTACCACGAAGAAATTAGTATTATTATTGTAGTATCGTGTTATGAGTTGGGGAAAAAAGAGAAATATTGCTTTTTTCTCTACAGGATTTACGGCATTTAAATAGTAAACAAAATAGTAAGGACGACTTAATTCATTCCCCGTCTTTTTATTTGCAATTTCTTAATTAAATAAACCCGCAAAAAGCAAAGAAGATAATAATAATAATAATAATAACGTTAAACATGCATTTGATATATAAGTAAGAATATACGAAGGGGAAAAAGATCTACTGAAAACTGTAATGCACTGTCCCGCAAAGTAAAGCTTCCGTATTAATAATTGATGTGTGTGTGTTGTGTGTGCGTGTGTGTCATTTCGCTGTAGAAATTCAGTCTCATCAATTTTTATACATATTCCATCTAAGCTGAAACCCACAACAATATCAAATATACCCTCTGATTATAATAAGTTTAAATATTTATCTCATTGGACATTATCTCTCTCATCCGGCGTTAAGAATGGTCCGATTCCAGTTATATCAACGTCTTGCAAATGACATTGTGCATCTCGTTACAAGGTGTCGCTTCTGGTTTCAGCGTGGCCTCCCGGAGCTTCACGCAACGTTGGTTCGGGGCGTTCTTGCCCAGGCTAGAGGCACCTTCGGTCATCAATTTACCGCTGTCCGCCCAGGCAAACTTGTTAACTGTTCCCAGATCGTTGCCACTTGTCCACCAACCTAAATGCGACAGTAATATGTAATTTGTAATATTAAAGTTAATGGATATGTGTATTAAGTCAATAAAAATATACATGTATAAAATTATACATGTATAATTTGGACGTTTCCGATTTCTCTTTCAATAAAAAGACATCACGTTGTTTGTCATTTAAAAAAAATTCTACTTTATTCTAAAGAGCACATTTTATATCTTACTCTTATCATTTCCGGTTAGTGTCCGAATGAATTCTCGTTCCTCTGGAGATGTGACAGACGCCGAGCGTGCCCCAAAGTTTTTTGCACAGAACAAGTCGGCTTCCGCCCAAGTCATCTTGTCGATATCAGGATCGAGTTTATAGCAAGCGCCAAGTGTTTCGTTCATCGTGAAACAGTCAGGGCATCTGTTCCCTAGGTGATGTAAAAATTGATTAAGGAATGTGTTATAGGATGGGATGGGCCTGGTTTATATGCAACGAACTTGTAAAAAAAATTCAAAGTTTTATTTTACATATTTATCTGCACGTCCACGACACTGGGTAACAACAATGGGACATGGGCATCAATATGGCGCCGATCTTGTGAGCACGCTTTCCGCTTAGAATAGGGCCTATGTATCGTATTTTGCTTTATTTTCATAAATTTGGGGAAAATGTAACATTAAAACACTTACAAATATTATCAGGTTAGAGTACACTTAACTTCACAGAGTTAGAAAAGCACTCCGCGATTCTGAATCGGCGGTTAAACAGCGATGCCATGAAATCGTTTTTCGTGAGTAACACGCCAAAAAGTGGGAACCGGATTTAGCTAATTTAATTACAGTGCGCTCATTCAATATTTACGTCATCAATGGAAATTTCCACTCTTTATGCTAGGTCCCTGAGCCGAATCCGAATGGGGAAACGAAACTTCACGCTAGCAATGGTTTCGCTGCCGTGCGTGTCTGAAGGAAACGAAACAGGATTGGGTCATAAAATCTGTGATCACAGATGACAGTTGTTTTATGAAAAGCAGACTTTATGTCAGGTATTTAAATCCCGAAACCGAACGATTTGTATAGTTCACGTGTATGGGAGATACACGTAATACTTTGCACTGAAGTTGAAATCGGAAATGTTGGTAATGCACAACAACCCGTATTCATCCCCCATCAAAATTTGCAACGATGAACAATTTTTGTTTTTCTCTAGTATGTGTGCCGTAAATGATCCCTGAGATGACCAAAAAAATTCGGCTGAGAATTAAAACGTTTTAAACGCACGGCAATGTTTGGAAACACAAAATTAGTTGTTATAATAAGACAAACCCATCCCCTTCACACGAAAGCACCCCCAATGTTATCCTACACAGGTTTATTTTGACAGACTATCAAAAATGATAACCCATTGTTTTTACCCAGTATCATGGACATGCATATATACACTTTACCTCAACCCGATTGTTTTTCGGAAAATGTAATTAATAAATAAAAGAAGGCATCAACTCTAATTGAATTCCATCGCGAGAGTTTTCTGTATTTTAAGCTTAGAGGTTTGCAGTTAACGAAAGTCAAACACGTTACTAAATATATACGGTTATAACGACGAACTTACCCACGCAGCTGTCCCGTAGATCGCTAATAAGTGTTTTGATGGCATCCAGGCTAGCGTCGGCCTCGTCCATTCTTTGGTTCTGCTCTACTGCCAGCGGGTCTTGCCCACACTGGACTTCAACTGGTAAACAAACAAACAAAATTAAATTAACTTCGATACCCACGGATTTGTACGGATCGTATTGCTCGCCTTCGATTGCTTTGCCTGAATCGCACATTTTACACTTGTAAAACTGTATATATCAAAATCAAATCAATTAAAAGATAATTTATGCATTGATTAATGAAATAAAATAATTCCAATTAATGGAAATGCAGTGACGTTGTAGGAATTAACGTTTTATACACATACCGTCTCTGCATATCTTCCTGGCAATGGCGCTTTTCAAGCTTAGCAAGTGGGTTGGGTCTTTTACCAAGATGACATAGTCATTTACCGGCTCAGACGCTATTTGATATAAGAAATCCCTGGAGTGCGTTGTGAAAATGATTGAAGAAAATTATTAGTTAATGTGTACATTGCTACCTCCTTTCATACGTGTGCGTGTGAACAGAGTAAAAAAAAGAGAGAGAGAGAGAGAGAGATGCTTAATATATATATATTTTTTTTAGATCACTGCACGTATATAGGATAAAACCAAGAGTACTGTCATTTTGGACATAGAAATCATAAACGAAATAGCAAGTTCTTTAATAAAAATTCATTTAAAATTGACAAAATAACCTACGGTATCAGTTTTTGTCCAATTCCGATGGCAAAAATTCTGATACCATTATTTTTAATGTCATTAGCAAACGGTATTGTAAGCTTTTTGGCCACGTTTGGTCGCCCGTCAGTAACAACAACTGCAATCTTCTCCACACCAGCGCGCATTCCGTTCTTTTCCTTAAATATTTCGTCTTTCAACATGTACAAACAGCCGGAAGTGTTAGTTCTACCTCCTCTAACTTCTTTTATCCTTTTCGAGCTCAATATGTCGATATCACCAATAATACCATCCAAGTCTAAGGAAGAATGGCAAAAGAAAAAGCTTTGTGACATATGCTTTCTAAGCAACATTTATATTCTCACATTTTAAACAAGTTAGATCCCTTTAAATGCACAATAAATATTGAAAATATTGTGATCAAGCTTTTTTAAATATCATTTCTGCCTCAACAGCATTATCAAAATACTCACCGGGGTTATCATTTAGATCAAAAATGATTTTTGTTTTGACACTAAATGTTGCCAGCGCAACCTGTGCCGCGTCTGGCCCTATTTGGTATGATGTGATGAATTCTTTGATAAAAACAAGTATATCCTTGAATTCTTGAACTTTGATGCTCTTTGAGGCATCCAAACAGAATGCGATTTCTACCCGCGGGGGTGGTATGCATTCTGAAATAAGAAAGAAAAATGCATTGGGTTGCTGCACGCTTTGGTATGAACTAAGATCTAATAAACGGATATTAGATCTTAGGTATGAATAATACGTTATGCGGCTTAGATGAGAAAATACAGCTTAAATATAAGGGATGAGATAAACAACAAAACAGATATGTGTATATATGTCTCCTCCATCCCAGCGCACCACAATCTTTCATCGTCCCATTTACAACAAGAAAGAAGACAACGAAGAACATTGGTTGTTCGAGATTTGGCCAAACGAGGCCGCTTTTATTATCCTATCCTATCATTCTCGAGGTTACAACTAACTCTCTCTCTCTCTCTCTCTCTCTCTCTCTCTCTCTCTCTGTGTGTGTGTGTGTGTGCGTGCGTGCGTGTGTGCGTGTGTGTTTGTGTGAAAAATAAAAGATACTACCACTTGAAAATGAGAAAAAACTAACCGAAGGATTCCTGTCGTCTTGTCAACTGCTTTAATTGCCCCCTGAACGATGATGCTGCGAGAGCCACCGAAATGACGCCACAAACCAACACGTATGAAACAAGACAGTGGATCTTCATCGTTCTGATGTGCGCTATTCACCGCGCGTTCTCTGCATTTATACATTTTTTTTTTTTTTGCTTCTGTTGAATAACTAATGATGTAATAGCCAATACCATTTATGGAAGAGAATAACGAAGGCCATTCGGTTAACACGCACTGGTACACTTTAAAAATAAATCGGTTATTGACCCTACCGATAAAATCGGTTGACTTGAAATCAGTTACAAACAACGGTTAATTTGGTTATTAATCAGCCAGTCGATTGGTCAACATAGTAACCGTGTGGATCGGTTATTCTCGGTTGCCGTTGAGCGCGAATCTTTGACAAAGATTTCTGCGCTCGCAGGACTGCCCAAGCCAGTCGCGCAGCACGTGATTGGTCAACAATGCCTAAAGTGGGGATTTCAAGTCGCCATTGCTTGTCACATGCTTCAGGGTGGACGGATTTGTGAAAGAAATTATTTCCTCATTCATTCTTGAAGGTTTGATCATCAGCATCCACCTGTTTCGGAGGGCCTATGGTTAGAGCGTCCGCCTAACCTCAGCTGGAGAACATGGGGTCGACCCCGTCTGGGGACATTAGCCTTTCAAGGCCAAACAAATTAACACAGTAGGACACAATGATGCAATAGAACATGTAACAGGTGATCAAATAATAATCATATAATTACCTTCTAAATGAGACAAATGTGTGATAATTCAGGTATCAATATTAATAGCAAAGCCAATGTGTCATGTAGCTCATCTTTCATCTGTGTAAAGCCATCGCATGTTTTACTAACTGTATAAAAGTTACCAAATAAATTGGTTGAATTTAACCAGAGAAACTAACTGTTTTAAACCAGTTGGAATTTTATAGTTTTAATTAAACTGTTTGCCATGGTAGATTTCACTGATTAACTGGTTGAAACTTAACCGTTTTAACAGATGTCAGGAAAGCCCTGTCCGTGTTCTTGAAGCACTGACTTAAACTGTTTGTACAATAGTTTTCTGGGCCTCTCTCTTTCATACAGCCCAATTTAGAGTATCCAAACATTGCTTTATGGGATACAAAGCAAGAGATAAAACAGGCCAGGCAGTCTATTTGCTCAACATTTTCTCAATAAAGTTGTTGGCCTGGAACGGTAAGGTTGGTCATTGCCATGTTGAAAATGTATTATTAAAGTCATTATGGGCTGTAGCACAAGGGACCATCTGTGTCCTCATAATTTCCTTCGTGTGTTAGTTTGACCCAATAGTAAAAGGCAGTTCACAAATGGGCTGAGCCCCTGCATTGAGCAATTGTTTTCGCCTTAGTCTCCAGAAAAAGTCGCAATCAAACATTACATTGAACACGGAGTAAGCCATCAAAACAAGGAGTTTCAAGAAGGAAGCTCAACCTATCCGAAAATCTGACATGCCACCAATGAAGCAATTGACTGTAATAAAGTTGATGGACCCATTCTATGCGCATTTCATTCTTTGTTGGATCAAAAGTAATTTCTTTTGCATACCCTAGGCCACCATTAAGGAGTGTGCCGTTAACTCTTCCCCTGGATAACCAGATTTTGACAGGTTGTTGCCACTTAATAACAGAAGTTGCTGGCAATGCTTTGTCCTAACAATTTATCTGGTGGAGTATACGATCCTCCATAGCGCTGTTACCTTAACGGGACAACCAGTGTAGATGACTGCATGGCCCCGCACGTTGCCTTGTAATTGGCACTGGAATAATAAACTGACAGCGCGAGCCATTTTAAGGTGTCTTTCCATTTGTGTCCATAACGCCACATCCACACCCTTAGTTTCAAATGTGCTTTTGTAAGTCGGAGTGCGTGTGTTTCGAGTCGCAGGCACATTTTTGTATGCGTGAATGTATAGATTGTCTCACACCTGTATACGTTTTTTAAAACTTTAAAAACTTTTGTCACGTGCATATAAGCTAGAAAATCGTAAAAAAAATCATTTTTGAAAGAATAAAGAAAGTAGATGTTGTATTTTAAGCTATTTTGGTCCTTTTTCGAGATTGACTTTGACCTCTGATGACTTCCAAACTTTTTAAAAAATGAATCTCTATCCCTTTAATATTGAAAATGATACCTCTCACAAGTTTGTAAGTTACTCAGTTTTCATGATATGCCCCCTATACATTGGCGGTCATTTTGGATTTTTGACATTTTACCATGGGTGGATTAAGGTTGGATTTTATCTGGGTTGTACTGGACCATAACTCGACCTGATTCTTTGTTAACATTTTTTCCAACCAAAGTCATTCGTTTAGTGGACTATTAGAGTGACAACGTTTTGAGGCCGTGACCCCGGAACAGTTCAAGTTCTTTAAATCAGATAAACTCGAATTGAATTTTCTAAGAAGTGGCTTTCACTGTGAAAACATGTTAAGCACCCTGGGATATCAAGTAATATAATTTACCAAACAATTCAACACAAAATTAATTGCTCCTTCAATTTATTGAATACAATCCCAAGCTACCTAATTCTGTTGGGATTAAATATTTCATCTTCAAATTAGAAACAGTGTATAGCGACAGCTTGTTTTAACGAAAAAACTTTAAAATATGCAGTAATTCTACCCTTATCAACATGTAACTTTTTAAAATATTAGTGTCTCTAATAAGCAGCGAGCATCCTTCTCACCAGATAATTACTGAAGTAATATTGGCATTATACAAATTCTGTTGCGATTAGATATTTAACTTGAAATTAGAAACAGCGTGTAAAGTATGCAGTAATTATACCCTTATCAACACGTAACTTTTTAAAATATTAGTGTCTCTAATAAACATCGGGCATCCTTCTCGCAAGATAATTACAGAAGTAATATTGGCATTATATGTACGTGTACACTGTATACTGCATGTCATGCTAAATTAATTGTCGGACAAAAAGCCACAAGAGATTGGAAATACCCTATTAATTAATTTACTTATTTTTTCGATAGCCCATACCAGCACTTGTTAACGATTGCTTACACCCTTTTTGTTCACCTGGTGGTTTCTTCCTTTCCTAGCTCCTCTAGACCTCATTGTTGGATAAGTCACAAAATGTTGATTGTTGATTGAAGCCATTCATCACAAACAGGGGCAAGTTGAGGCCGTCTTCTTGGTCTTCCGGAAGACGGTTACATTTTCACTTTAACAATGACGGTATCTAATTTTTTCTGTGAAAAGACGGTCAAAAATGAAGGATGGATCAACAAATATAATATGGAAGACTGTCAGAAATCTCTGGATCTGCCTCTGACAAATACGCCTTTATCAGTTTTTAATCAACACATGGAGTGGAATTATGTTATATATATACAAAATTATAATTTCTATAGTTGCACTGCCCCCTAGAGGTTTTAAGATTTTTATGTTTGGAGGATACAAGGCATTATTTTATCTGGATGCGTAGAGTAGATGTGAAGCACATCTACCACAATTTGGAGGCGTGTAGAACGCGAAAAGTGACTTTTCCATAAATTGAATACGGGTCCAACTAGTCCGGGTCTCCCCCAATAAACATGCATCAGTCTTGATTATCCCTTGATTATTCAAAAGTCCATAAAGTTTTTTGTACAGACTTAAGTTCCTTGAAATGTGGGTGGGCAGTTTAAGATACCCTTTAAAATACTCTGTAAGATCCACCTCCATTTACCGCTTTACAAAAACAGAAATAATTGAGTCATTTAAGACATACTGTGTATTTAGTCTGCTTCATTTGCAAATTTCATTTTTTGAATACTATTTTCACCTCCATAGCCAGTATACTAAATTTGATTAATCATCTGTTTTGTATGAGTCTGATTTCAACTTGTTTGATAGTAAAGAGTGCTGTAGTCAGAGTATAAAATACTCGCTATTTAATTCTTGCAGCAATTCATATGTGGATGATAAATCTGGAATCTAAATCATAATTATTTGATTTATATTTCATAACGCTTTTCAAAAAGATATATTCTTTTCAAATGCCTTTTTGCCTTTTATTTTCCAAATTAGGCTATCTTGCAGATTCTTTTATTTCTATTCATTATTCACAATTATAAATAGGTGCACAAGAGATTTTTCATAATCTAATTTGGGGTGAGAAGTCGAAAGAAAAAGGTACCCCTTTGTGTATACTACCTCAGAGGAATTAGTATTTTTATTGTAGTATTGTGCTATATGACTTGAGGAAAAAGAGAAAAATTGCCTTTTTTTCTTTAAGATCTTAAAGCACTTTTAAAAGTAGCCTAGTAAACAAAAACAGCAACGTGTTGATTCCCCCTCTTTTTAATTTCCAATTTCGTAAATAAAAAACTGTAAAAGGCAAAATGTTAAACATGTATTTAAGATATAAGCAAGGGTATGCAAAAGAAAGATGTACTGAAACCTGTAATGAATTGTCCCGCAAAGTAAAGCTAGCTACCGTTTTGATAATATATATATATTCCGTTGCGAAAAGTCACTGTGATCAATGCTTTATACTTTTATATATATCATATTTCATTTTCGATGAAACCCCCAACAATTTCAAATAGACCTTCTGATTATAATTGATTTGAATATATATCTCATTGGTCATTGTCTCATCCGGCGTTAAGGAAAGTCCGGTTCCAGTTATATCAATGTCTTGCAAATGACATTGTGCAACTCGTCACAAGGTGTCGCTTCTGGTTCCAGCGTGGCCTCTCGGAGCTTCACGCAACGCTGGTTCGGGGCGTTCTTGCCCAGGCTAGAGGCACCTTCGGTCATCAGTTTACCGCTGTCCGCCCAGGTAAACTTGTCCGCTGTTCCCAAATCGTTGCCACTTGTCCACCAACCTAAACTCAATAGTAATATATAATTTGTTATATTAATATATCACAAACATACTATAAATGTAAAGTTAAGAAGGAAATTATATTATTGGTATGTAATATACCGAATAATTATATGCCGAGGCATTAATGTCATTACCATACAGTTGAGATCATTTTACATTGTATTCTTTTACTGACTTATAATCTTCAGGAATTCATGGAAACCCCTTCAAACATTTACACGTTATGTAAGTGCTGCGCTTGTTTGATGTTGTTGTTTGGAGGAAAGTATGCTTAAAAAGTGCATTTGTAATTATTAAAATGATAATGTCCACAACAAATAAAATAAGATAAAATGATAAATATAAAGGATAAAGAATAAAGTTCGAGAAAATTCGAAGTTCTTACATGTATAATTTAGATGTTCCCGAATTCTCTTTCAAATTTAAGACATTACATTGTTTGTCTTATCATATTTTCTTTTTTTTATTTAAAATTTCTACTTAATTCTTAAAGACACAATTCATCTCTTACTCTTATCATCTCCGGTTTGTGCCCGAATGAACTCCCGTTCCTCTGGAGACGTGACGGACGCCGAGCGTGCTCCGAAGTTTTCTGCGCAGAATAAGTCAGCATCCGCCCAAGACATCTTGTCGAATTCATGGCCGAATCGATAGCAAGTGCCAAGTGTTTCGTTCATCGTGAAACAGTCAGGACATCTGTTTTCTGGGAGACACCAAAAGTTGAGTAAGGAAAAATTATAGAATGGGATGGAGCTGGTTAAAAAAAAATTTTAATGTCTTTTTTTTTCATATCTATGTATATACTCACTTTACCTCACCCCTATTGTTTTGGGAGAAATTGAAATAAGTAAGTGAAAGAAGACAACAGCTCTTATTGAATTCCATCTCGAACCTGGAGGTAGTTTTGTGTTTGGAGAAAGTCAAATACGTTACTAAATATTCATACGCTTAAAACGACGCACTGTTTGTTACCCACCCACGCAGCTGTCCCGTAGATCGCTAAGAAGCGTTCTGATCAAAGCCAGGCTGGCGTCGGCCTCGTCCAGTTTTTGGTGATGATCTACAGCCTGCGGGTCTTGCTCACAGTGGACTTCAACTGGTAAACAAACACACAAAAATAAATTTCAGTACCCACAGATTTGTACGAATCCTATTGCTCGCCACCAACTTCTATTGCCTGAATCGCACCTTTTACACTTGTAAAACGGTGTATCAAAATCATATCAATTAAAAAATAATTAATTGCTTGATCGATGAAATATAACAAATAAATATAATGGATATGCAGTTAGTGAAAATACATCTACACATACCGTGTCTGCATATTTTCCTGGCAATGGCTGTTTTTAAGCTCATCAAGTGTTCTGCACTTTTTACCAAGATGACGTGATCGTCTGTAGGCTCAGACGCTATTTGATATAAGAAATCCCTGGAGTGCGTTGTGAAAATGATTGAAGAAGATTATTAGTTAATGTGTATAATGCTACCTCCTTTCATACATGTGCCTGTGAACACACACACACACACACACACACACACACACACACACGAGAGAGAGAGAAAGAGATGTTAAATATTATTTTAGTTCAATGCGCCTATAGGATTAAACCTAAAGTACGTTATTTTGGACATGAAAATCATAAACGAAATAACCATCTCCCTCATTCAAATTTATCAAAATTTGACAAAATAACCTACGGTCTCAGTTTTTGTCCAATTCCTATGGCGAAGATCATGGTACCACCATTTTTAATGTCGTTGGCATACGGTATTGTGAACTCTTTGTCCGAGTTTGGCCGTCCGTCAGTAACAACGATTGCGATCTTGTGCACACCAGCGCGCATTCCATTCTGTTCCGTAAATATCTCGTCTTTCAACCTGTACAAACACCCGGACGTGTTCGTTCTATCTCCTCGAACTTCCTTGATCCTCTCCGAGCTCAATATATCGATATCACCAATAATTCCATCCAAGTCTGCGGAAGAATGGGAAAAGAAAAAAGAAAACATCTAATTTTCGATAATGACATTGATGTATGAAATTCTATGACGCCCTTTTCGGGATCCATGACATAATCCAGCCACTTCCAAGTTAAATAAGCAGAGTGATGTTTTCAATACATTTTTAGTAGGCCCTAATATCATATTTTCTTTTAAACATTTTGAGATCATTAGAATTATTTAAACCTTTTTCGTGCTGGAACTTTCTTTTTCCCAGGAGATAAAAAACATTCGTACTTGCTAAATATTTGGTATAAACTCGGACTCATGAGGGGTCTTTTAAGACATATTTGAAAATATAAAATAAGGGGCGGTAATATACAGGCCCTTGTGCATTTAATGCAAGTATGATATACGGTATTTTTTCAGAGAAAGAAACCTACCAAATAATGCCCTAATAAATAGCCGAACAGGTTTGTGTGTATGTGTATATATGTATATGCGTGTGTGTCTGCGTGTGTGAGAAGATTAAACATTTGAAAAATTCTAAAGAAGTATCCAGTCCTGACAAATAGCTTATAACCCTTTTAACATCAGCAGCATTTATGTACTCATATTTAAACAAATTTGTGTCCATGTAAATGCACAATAAATTTTGAAAGTACTGTGGTCAATTTTTTCAATTTCATATCTACCGTAATAGCATTGTCAAAATACTCACCGGAGTTATCATTTAGATCAAAAATGGTTGTTGTTTTGACGCTAAATGTTGCCAGCGCAACCTGTGCCGAGTCTGGTCCTATTTGGTATGCTGTGATGAATTCCTTGATAAAAACAAGTATATCCTTAAATTCTCGAACTTTGATGCTCTTTGAGGCGTCTAAACAGAATGCGATTTCGACCCTCGGGGGTGGTATGCAATCTGAAATAAGAAAGAGAAATGCGTTGGGATGCTGCATGGTTTCGTATGAATAATTCGTAGTGCGGCTTTGATTAAAAATAAGGGATTAGACAGACAACAAAACAATTATATATGTATCTTTGAACTGATGATTGGTGTAGTACGAATCATAATAACCAATAACGAATCAAAGTGTCTCGAGATTAAAACTCTCTCTCTCTCTCTCTGTGTGTGTGTGTGTGTGTGTGTGTGTGTGTGTGTGTACGATAAAGAATATTACCACTAGAAAATGAGAAAAAAACTAACCGAAGGATTCCTGTCTTCTGGTCAACTGCTGTAATTCCCCCTCGAACAATGATGCTCCGAGAGAAGGCGAAACGACGCCACAAACCAACACGTATGAAACAAGGCAGTGGATCTTCATCGTTCTGATGTGTGCTATCTACTGCGCGTTCTCCCCATTTATACTGTTTCTTTCACTTCAGTTGAATAGGTAATGACATAATAACCAATAACATTTATGGAAGAGAATGACAAACGCCCATTCAGATAGCACGCTGTGGTATGATCACATTAGGATATACAGTAGTTAATTCAAAATTTAAAAGAAGGCTAGCCCAGATTAATGCACAAACTTGATATACTCATCCCATAGACATTTTTAAAGAAGGTAGAATGAGTTAAATGAACATACATTGTGTGTGAATTTCCTTTTCACTAGGTACATCGTCAAAACAAGGAGTTGTAATTTATATCAAATTTTTTTTANTTATTGCTTTAATTGTCGGACAAAAAGCCACAAGAGATTGGAAATACCTTATTAATTAATTAATTATTATTATTATTATTATTATTTTCGATAGCCCATACCAGCACTTGTTAACGATAGCTTACACCCTTTTTGTTCACCTGGTGGTTTCTTCCTTTCCTAGCTCCTCTAGACGTCATTGTTGGAGTAAGTCACAAAATGTTGACTGTTGATTGAAGCCATTCATCACAAACAGGGGCAAATTGAGGCCGTCTCCTGGTTCTTCCGTCTGGGTCTTACATTTCAATTACGTCTCAATTTAACAATGACGGTATCTAATTTTTTCTGTGAAAAGACGGTCAAAAATGAAGGATGGATCAACAAATATAATTTGGAAGACTGTCAGAAATCTCTGGATCTGCCTCTGACAAATACGCCTTTATCATTTTTTAATCAACACATGGAGTGGAATTATGCTACATATACGAAAATATAATTTCTATAGTTGCACTGCTCCACAGATGTTTTAAGTTTTTTATGTTTGGAGGATAGAAAGCAATATTTTATCTGGATGAGGAGAGTAGATGTGAAGCACATCTACCACAATTTGGAGGCGTGTAGAACGCGAAAAGTGACTTTTCCATAAATTGAATACGGGTCCAACTTGTCCGGGTCTCTCCCAATAAACATGCATCAGTCTTGATTATCCCATTCAAAAGTCCATTAAGTTTTTGTAAAGACTTAAGTTCCTTGAAATGTGGGTGGGCAGTTTAAGATACCCTTTAAAATACTCTGCAAGATCCACCTCCATTGACCGCTTTACAAAAACAGAATTAATTGAGTCATTCAAGATATTATACTGTGTATTTAGTCTGCTTCATTTGCAAATTTCATTTTTTTGAATACTATTTTCACCTCCGTAGCCAGTATACTAAATTTGATTAATCATCTGTTTTGTAGGAGTTTGATTTCAACTTGTTTGATAGTAAAGAGTGCTGTAGTCAGAGTATAAAATACTCGCTATTTAATTCTTGCAGCAATTCATATGTGGACGATAAATCTGGAATCTAAAGCATAATTATTTGATTTATATTTCATAACGCTTTTCAAAAAGATATATTCTTTTCAAATGCCTTTTGTCATTTATTTTCCAAATTAGGCTATCTTGCAGATTCTTTTATTTCTATTCATTATGCACAATTATAAATAGGTGCACAAGAGATTTTTCAAAATCTAATTTGAAGTTCGAAAGAAAAAGTTACCCCTTTGTGTATACTACCTCAGAGGAATTAGTATTTTTATTGTAGTATTGTGTTATATGACTTGAGGAAAAAGAGAAAAATTGCCTTTTTTCTTTAAGATCTTAAAGCACTTTTAAAAGTAGTAAACAAAAACAGCAACGTGTTGATTCCCCCTCTTTTTAATTTCCAATTTAGTAAATAAAAAACTGTAAAAGGCAAAATGTTAAACATGTATTTAAGATATAAGCAAGGGTATGCAAAAGAAAGATGTACTGAAACCTGTAATGAACTGCCCTGCAAAGTAAAGCTAGCTACCGTTTTGATAATATATATATTCCGTTGCGAAAAGTCACTGTGATCAATGCTTTTATATATATCATATTTCATTTTCGATGAAACCCCCAACAATATCAAATAGACCTTTTGATTATAATTGATTTAAATATATATATCTCATTGGTCATTGTCTCATCCGGCGTTAAGGAAAGTCCGGTTCCAGTTATATCAACGTCTTACATATGACATGGTGCAACTCGTCACAAGGTGTCGCATCTGGTTCCAGCGTGTTCTCCCGGAGCTTCACGCAACGCTGGTTCGGTGCGTTCTTGCCCAAGCTAGAGGCATCTTCGGTCATCAGTTTACCGCTGTCCGCCCAGGTAAACTTGTCCGCTGTTCCCAAATCGTTGCCACTACTCCACCAACCTAAACTCAATAGTAATATATAATTTGTTATATTAATATATCACAAACATACTTTTGATGTAAAGTTAAGAAGGAAATTATATTATTGGCATGCAATATACTGAATAGTTATATACCGAGGCATTAATGTCATTTACATACAGTTGAGATCATTTTACATTGTATTCTTTTACTGACTTATAATCTTCAGGAATTCATGGAAACCCCTTCAAACATTTACACGTTATGTAAGTGCTGCGCTTGTTTGATGGTGTTGTTTGGAGGAAAGTATGCTTAAAAGGTGCATTTGTAATTATTAAAATGATAATGTCCACAGCAAATAAATAAAATAAAATGATAAATATAAAGGATAAAGAATAAAGTTCGAGAAAATTCGAAGTTCTTACATGTATAATTTAGATGTTTCCGATTTCTCTTTCAATTTAAGACATTACATTGCTTGTCATATCAAATTTTCTTTTTTTAATTTAAAATTTTCTACTTTTAATTCTTAAAGACACAATTCATCTCTTACTCTTATCATCTCCGGTTTGTGCCCGGATGAATTCCCGTTCCTCTGGAGACGTGACGGATGCCGAGCGTGCTCCGAAGTTTTCTGCGCAGAATAAGTCAGCATCCGCCCAAGTCACCTTGTCGAATTCATGGCCGAATCGATAGCAAGTGCCAAGTGTTTCGTTCATCGTGAAACAGTCAGGACATCTGTTTTCTGGGAGACACCAAAAGTTGAGTAAGGAAAAATTATAGAATGGGATGGAGCTGGTTAAAAAAAAATTTTAATGTCTTTTTTTTTTTCATATCTATGTATATACTCACTTTACCTCACCCCTATTGTTTTGGGAGAAATTGAAATAAGTAAGTGAAAGAAGACAACAGCTCTTATTGAATTCCATCTCGAACCTAGAGGTAGTTTTGTGTTTGGGGAAAGTCAAATACGTACTAAATATTCATACGCTTAAAACGACGCACTGTTTGTTACCCACCCACGCAGCTGTCCCGTAGATCGCTAAGAAGCGTTCTGATCAAAGCCAGGCTGGCGTCGGCCTCGTCCAGTTTTTGGTGATGATCTACAGCCTGCGGGTCTTGCTCACAGTGGACTTCAACTGGTAAACAAACACACAAAAATAAATTTCAGTACCCACAGATTTGTACGAATCCTATTGCTCGCCACCAACTTCTATTGCCTGAATCGCACCTTTTACACTTGTAAAACGGTGTATCAAAATCATATCAATTAAAAAATAATTAATTGCTTGATCGATGAAATATAATAAATAAATATAATGGATATGCAGTTAGTGAAAATACATCTACACATACCGTGTCTGCATATTTTCCTGGCAATGGCTGTTTTTAAGCTCATCAAGTGTTCTGCACTTTTTACCAAGATGACGTGATCGTCTGTAGGCTCAGACGCTATTTGATATAAGAAATCCCTGGAGTGCGTTGTGAAAATGATTGAAGAAGATTATTAGTTAATGTGTATAATGCTACCTTCTTTCATACATGTGCGTGTGAACACACACACACACACACACACACACACACACACACACACACGAGAGAGAGAGAGAGAAAGAGATGTTAAATATTATTTTAGTTCAATGCGCCTATAGGATTAAACCTAAAGTACGTTATTTTGGACATGGAAATCATAAACGAAATAACCATCTCCCTCATTCAAATTTATCAAAATTTGACAAAATAACCTACGGTCTCAGTTTTTGTCCAATTCCTATGGCGAAGATCATGGTACCACCATTTTTAATGTCGTTGGCATACGGTATTGTGAACTCTTTGTCCGAGTTTGGCCGTCCGTCAGTAACAACGATTGCGATCTTGTGCACGCCAGCGCGCATTCCATTCTGTTCCGTAAATATCTCGTCTTTCAACCTGTACAAACACCCGGACGTGTTCGTTCTATCTCCTCGAACTTCCTTGATCCTCTCCGAGCTCAATATATCGATATCACCAATAATTCCATCCAAGTCTGCGGAAGAATGGGAAAAGAAAAAAGAAAACATCTAATTTTCGATAATGACATTGATGTATGAAATTCTATGACGCCCTTTTCGGGATCCATGACATAATCCAGCCACTTCCAAGTTAAATAAGCAGAGTGATGTTTTCAATACATTTTTAGTAGGCCCTAATATCATATTTTCTTTTAAACATTTTGAGATCATTAGAATTATTTAAACCTTTTTCGTGCTGGAACTTTCTTTTTCCCAGGAGATAAAAAACATTCGTACTTGCTAAATATTTGGTATAAACTCGGACTCATGAGGGGTCTTTTAAGACATATTTAAAAATATAAAATAAGGGTCGGTAATATACAGGCCCTTGTGCATTTAATGCAAGTATGATATACGGTATTTTTTCAGAGAAAGAAACCTACCAAATAATGCCCTAATAAATAGCCGAACAGGTTTGTGTGTATGTGTATGCGTGTGTGTCTGCGTGTGTGAGAATATTTAAACATTTGAAAAATTCTAAAGAAGTATCCAGTCCTGACAAATAGCTTATAACCCTTTTAACATCAGCAGCATTTATGTATTCATATTTAAACAAATTTGTGTCCATGTAAATGCACAATAAATTTTGAAAGTACTGTGGTCAATTTTTTCAATTTCATATCTACCGTAATAGCATTGTCAAAATACTCACCGGAGTTATCATTTAGATCAAAAATGGTTGTTGTTTTGACGCTAAATGTTGCCAGCGCAACCTGTGCCGCGTCTGGTCCTATATTATATGCTGTGATGAATTCCTTGATAAAAACAAGTATATCCTTAAATTCTCGAACTTTGATGCTCTTTGAGGCGTCTAAACAGAATGCGATTTCGACCCTCGGGGGTGGTATGCAATCTGAAATAAGAAAGAGAAATGCGTTGGGATGCTGCATGGTTTCGTATGAATAATTCGTAGTGCGGCTTTGATTAAAAATAAGGGATTAGACAGACAACAAAACAATTATATATGTATCTTTGAACTGATGATTGGTGTAGTACGAATCATAATAACCAATAACGAATCAAAGTGTCTCGAGATTAAAACTCTCTCTCTCTCTGTGTGTGTGTGTGTGTGTGTGTGTGTACGATAAAGAATATTACCACTAGAAAATGAGAAAAAAACTAACCGAAGGATTCCTGTCTTCTGGTCAACTGCTGTAATTCCCCCTCGAACAATGATGCTCCGAGAGAAAGCGAAACGACGCCACAAACCAACACGTATGAAACAAGGCAGTGGATCTTCATCGTTCTGATGTGTGCTATCTACTGCGCGTTCTCCCCATTTATACTGTTTCTTTCACTTCAGTTGAATAGGTAATGACATAATAACCAATAACATTTATGGAAGAGAATGACAAACGCCCATTCAGATAGCACGCTGTGGTATGATCACATTAGGATATACAGTAGTTAATTCAAAATTTAAAAGAAGGCTAGCCCAGATTAATGCACAAACTTGATATACTAAGCAGCTCATCCCATAGACATTTTTAAAGAAGGTAGAATGAGTTAAATGAACATACACTGTGTGTGAATTTCCTTTTCACTAGGTACATCGTCAAAACAAGGAGTTGTAATTTATATCAAATGTTTTTAAATTTAAAATTCGATATGGACTGGAAGCATAAAAATTTGTTATGCGTTTTTCCACCCCTTAATTCCTTGTATTGTCGCCGTTCTATCAAGAGATATGATAATAATAATAAAACCCAAAAAGAGCAACGGGCAACTGGCGACCCTTCTAAAACGAAAAACATTTTAAAATACTGTCTTAAAGATTTAAATAAGTTTTTACTGCCTCAATCCAGGCTAAACTTGTAGTGGTCCCCTCAAGTACGGTATTATCAGTCTAGATATTTACTTAAAAAAAACAAGCTTAATATCTTCACATATGTAAACTAATGCAGATTAATCTTGGTTCAAAGAAGATATAGACATACTAAAGGAACGGCTTTTAATGAAACAAAGTGAATTGTATAGGAACTGTCTTGCCTATAAAGTCTTCTATAATTGTTATTCCAATCTTTTTTTTTTTTTTTTTTTTTTTGCTATAATATATTACTAATTATAAGATTGACATTAAAATAAGCCATAAATATGACGGCCTTAGAGCGAAAACGTTCTACACGTAAAATCATAATACCGGAACCGTTGAAGTTCTTTGAATCAGATCAACTCGAACTGAATATTATAAGAAGTGGTTTTCGCTGTGACAACATGTTTAGTATCCTCGGATGTTCAGTTGTATAATTTACCAAACACTCCAACGCACAATTAATTGTTTCTTCAATTTAATGAATACACTCATAGGCTACCAAATTATGCCGCTATAAATATTTAATCTTCAAATTAGAAACAGCTTGTTTAAACGGTAAACATCTCTAAAGTATGCAGTAATTTTACCCTTATAAGTACGTGACTTTTTTAAATATTAGTGTCTCTAATAAGCAGCGTGCACCCTTCTCGCCAGACAATTACAGAAGTTATCTTGAAATTATACAATATTGTCGGTCAGAAAGCCACAAGATATTCGGAATAATTCTTTTTTTTTTTTTTTTTTTTAGAGAGCCCATACCAGTAGTTCATTTACAATGTCGATAATTCATATATAGGTTATGTTACACACTTCTCACTAGATCACAACAGTCTTATAGAACTATACGGAACTTTGCCAAGCTGAGAACCAGAGCTTGAATAATTCTTATTCTTGGCGCAGACTCTTGTAAAATAAAAAATATATATATTGCTCCTGAGCGGTTGGAAAATCAAAAGTACACACATAGAAATTACATGATTAGACCATGGCTTGCATATTTTGTGACCGTTTGTTTTATTGATACGCTTGCTCGGACACGGTGCACAGAACAGGCAAGGACTCTGTTAAGAACTGCGTCAACAGCCAAATGTCACAGTCTTAATTCAACCAAATATACATGCATTAAAACAATACGCCTCTCCTTTACATGATATTAGAGAAAACCTTCGTGTACACCTTTTTCTTCAAAATGGACATTTGTAATGAAATAATATACATTTTACGTGAGGGATACTTTAAAATATATCATAACCGAAGTGTTAATGTCAGCGTTGAATTGATTTATGTTGTTTATTTATGTCGATTTGAACTTGATAAGTATTCAAACATAACATGAATGTATTTTAAGACTTAAACAAAAATACGCTCCGGCAGGTGAAAAAGATTATTGCATCGGTCGACAACTGCGACGCAACGGCGACGACGGCGACAAGGGCAGGCACTTGTAATCAAGATGCAAACGGGCTATAAACAAAGTGTCCCAAAATTCAATCACGATTAACATTTCATAATTCTAATTTCCCAGAGACAATCTGAGCACCAGCATTCATTAAGCCATACATGTTCTCCTTAATGAATGTTGTGACGAACGCCTTTCAAACTTATTATTTATGCACCATTAGAAAGTGTTAATTGCGTAGGACATAGACAAAACATACAAGACCCTATGTTTGACTCGCACGCAACCCATTGTCGTAAAATACGGTACATTTCACATCTGTTTGATAGTTACATATCTAAAAATCCAATAAAAAAATCTAATAGCATAGATATGCCATCTGATTTCTGATATTTTTAAAAACTTTGTTGATTAAAGTAAATCTCGTCACACTTTTTTATCACTTGTAAGTAAATGTAGCTCTCCTGGACCATGCAGGTATCGGTGGGGCGGGGTGGGGCGAATTATCGGACTTTTGATGGATTTTTCCATTTGTCTCATTTGAGCTTACCATGATCATTCAGATCATGTTAACAATTAACTTTTTTCATTAAAAAACGTGTTTTTGTTTCTTTTTGATGAATATTGCTTTCTTTTTCTTCAATTTTTTAATCTTTTGTTTATTGATCTGTAGCAGGTCAGGCGTATTTAAATTAAAATCAGCATAGGCCATACTGAAATCCATGCCTCAGACAATTTAAATTATATTCATTCCATTTCAATTCATTTCTTCGCTGGTACATTGGTAATCATCAACTTACACAATATAATATAATATAATTATAATTATACAATTGGTGCATTACCATTCTGAAATTGATGTTTGCATTATCAGTATGTGAAGTAACACAGATCTCTTCATAATATGGACAGATGTGCAATTTAAGTCACTACTAAAATATTCTAACTTAACGGTGAAACACAGTTTCCGGGCGCGTTTACAGGTTTGTCGTTAGCATAAATAATGCAAAATTGTAGGATAATTACAATTTACAAAAATATACTAGGAGTTATAAATTATAGATATTTTCATCACATTCCTAATAAAGTCATTTTAGCTATGATAAGAGTTTTAGCTCATTTTCATCATGCCATCGCCAAAGAGTTGAGAAACATATGCTTCTTATCTGATGACTCAAGTACAACAGTTTAGGAAAATGGGTGTGATCTTATGTATTAATAAGATAACATATGTTTTGCAGTCCTCCATATACAAGATACAAGAGATCCATAGATTCGTATCCATAGATTGTATATCTATTCATAATTTATAATTGTATGTGACTAAGTGGCTTAAAATCTGCCTGGATTCCAATCTGGCTTGGAACATATATACCTTAATCTACAGAAATAATAATTGCAAAATTAACCCTTATTTTGAAAATTAAAAAAAGAAAAGAAAAGAAAATATCCTAATTGGTTCAGAGCCTTTATAAAAAATCACTAATGGTCTTCCTTCTGCGTTCGGTATTAATTCCCTTGTTGTCTTTGCAGTTTTTAAATGTCTGTCATTAGGGGCAGTTTCCATCCTACTCACAAACTTTTTAATTTTTTCCCAAGCAAATGTAGGCTTTTATTTTTTGGGGGTAGTGGTCAATTTTTATGTAGCTTTGAAATTTCAGCTGTATCCCTTTTTCATACCTTGGACATAATTTTTATGTCAAAGTTCATACGAAGTCATGAACTTATTTTCTTCTTACTACTTTTAAAGTTAACACAACGACGATTTTACAGTGCAATTTATTCCCGATATTGTATATTTTACATAAACATAAATATTTATCTTTAAAAGATCTATAAATAGATCTTTATCTTAAGTCTGTGTTGCAAACTTGGCAACGGCTTTAATGCTCAACAACAGTTTGCTGATTGCTGTAGTTGAGACATCGCAGCACAATTGGCCCTTCTCTGCTTTTCAGCTATGGGAAGAAATACTTCACAGTATCAAGCATAGCCATGCTTTCTACAAGAATGAAATAAGTAACACTTAAAGGAAAACAAAGATATACCGTTTCTCTTTCTCCTTAAGTGCAGAACTTAAGAGTCTGGAACCTTCTTGGGACGAAATTTTACCTCTAAAAAGACTCGGTTGCTGTTAATTTGTTGCTTTTCAAAGTAGCTGCAATCGGCTTAATTTAATCTAATTGTCTTCAAAATTACTGAAATTGCTTTACGTGCTAAAAAATTATATTTGTGGATAAACGAAATGAAAATGCAGTCAAGAAATACAAATCGGTTGAATTTTTTGTGCCAGATTTACTGTACGGAATGGTTTTTGTAGCATTTAAACCAACTATCTCGACTCATGATTATAGAGAAAAATCATTATGCATGCAAATTTGAAATATTAAAAACAAACTCGATATGCAAATAAGTAGTTTCGCTTAATAAGTTCATCATTCACCAGCCACCGGAAGGACAGAAGTTTTGTCGTGATTGTAGATCCCTCATTTTTACATTCTGTTTGCCCTTTAGAATGAGATTAATAAAATGTGCAGTGCACTTAAGATCGCAGGGGATTCCGATGAAAGTTGTTTATGGAATAAAATTCAAAATATCTGAGCAAATTATACTGACGATGTTTTCTTCACAAACGATGTACATTTATTAATACTAATTCACCAGACTTTTTAATTTGAAAATGTAATATTTAGTCTTGAGGTGCATTCTCATCTGAAATAATAGAGATAACATTCCAATTTCGTTTTGTGAATTTTATCACCGAATGCTACAAAGTGTATATAAATCATTTCTAATTTTTAAATTATAATTTAAAAATATCAGAATAATACGTAGATGAACAAAACTGAATAAACAGTGTATAAAAGCGTGTATATCGTTTACAGTCTATTGGACGCGAACTGCAAAAGAGACAAGGACATTTTACTTTTTACTGTCTTTTTTTTTCGATTTCACACGCCTAGTCGCTCTTTTTTCCTTATTGAAAGTGACCACTCGTCTGGGCTCTTTTTACTATTTATTCTACTGTACAATACAAAACAAGTAAAAGCTATTAGGA